AACATAAATGCAGAAATCTTCAATAAAATACTGGCAAGCCGATTGCTACACCACATCAAAAAGCTTATCCATCCTGATCAAGTAGGATTCATCTTGGGGATGCAAGGCTGGTTCAACATACGCAAGTCTATTAACGCAATTCACCACATAAATAGAACCAAAAACAAAACCCACATGATTATCTCAATTGATGCAGAGAAGGCCTTTGACAAAATTCAACAGCCCTTTATGCTAAAAACCCTCAATAAACTCGGTATTGATGGAACGTATCTCAAAATAATAAAAGCTATTTATGACAAAGCGACAGCCAATATCATACTGAATGGGCAAAAACTGGAAGCATTCCCTTTGAAATCTGGCACTAGAAAAGGATGCCCTCTCTCACCACTCCTATTCAATATAGTACTGGAAGTTCTAGCCAGAGCAATCAGGCAAGAAAAAGAAATAAAGGGTATTCAAATAGGAAAGGAGGAAGCCAAATTGTCTCTATTTGCAGACAACATGATAGTATATCTAGAAGACCCCATCGTCTCAGCCCAAAAACTCCTGAAACTGATAAGCAACTTCAACAAAGTCTCAGGATATAAAATCAATGTGCAAAAATCACAAGCATTCCTATACACCAATAACAGACTTAAAGAAAGCCAAATCAAGAACGAACTGCCATTCATAATTGCTACAAAGAGAATAAAATACCTAGGAATACAACTCAAGGAAAGGGACCTCTTCAAGGCAAACTACAAACCACAGCTCAACGAAATAAGAGAGGACACAAAAGATGGAGAAACATGCTATGTTCATGGTTAGGAAGAATCAGTATCGTGAAAATGGCCATACTGCCAAAGTAATTTACAGACTCAACGCTTTCCCCATCAAGCTACCATTGACTTTCTTCACAGAACTGGAAAAAAACACCTTGAACTTCATATAGAACCAAAAGAGAGCCCGCATAGCCAAGTCAATTCTAAGCAAAAAGAACACAGCGGGAGGCATCACACTACTGGACTTCAAACTATACTACAAGGCTACAGTAATCAAAAGAGCATGGTACAGGTACTAAAACAGAGATATAGACCAATGGAACAGAACAGAGGCATCGGAGGCAACACAACATATCTACAACCATGTCAGTCTTTGATAAACCTGACAAAAACAAGCAATGGGGAAAGGACTCCCTGTTTAATAGTGTTGGGAAAACTGGCTAGCCATGTGCAGAAAGCAGAAACTGGACCCCTTCCTGGCACCCTACACTAAAATTAACTCCAGATGGATTAAAGACTTAAACATAAGACCTGGCATCATAAAAACCCTAGAAGAAAATCTAGGCAAAACCATTCAGGACATAGGAGTAGGCAAGGACTTCATGAACAAAACACCAAAAGCATTGGCAACAAAAGCCAAAATAGACAAATGGGACCTAATCAAACTCCACAGCTTCTGCACAGCAAAAGAAACAGTCACTAGAGTGAATTGGCAACCAACCGAATGCGAAAAAAAATTTTGCAGTTTACCCATCTGACAAAGGGCTGATATCCAGAATTTACAAAGAACTCAAACAGATTTACAAGGAAAAAAACAAACAAGCACATTCAAAAATGGGCAAAGGATATGAACAGACACTTTACAAAAGAAGATATACATGAGGCCAACAAACATATGAAAAAATGCTCATCATCACTGGTCATTAGAGAGATGCAAATCAAAACCACATTGAGATACCATCTCATGCCAGTTAAAATGGCAATCATTAAAAAATCTGGAGACAATAGATGCTGGAGAGAATGTGGAGAAATAGGAACACTTTTACACTGCTGGTGGGAGTGTAAATTAGTTCAACCATTGTGGAAGACAGTGTGGCGATTCCTCAAGGACCTAGAAATAGAAATTCCATTTGACCCACCAATCCCATTACTGGGTATATATCCAAAGGGTTATAAATCGTTCTACTATAAGGACACATGCACACAAATGTTCATTGCAGCACTGTTTACAATAGCAAAGACCTGGAACCAACCCAAATGCCCATCGATGATAGACTGGCCTGGGAAAATGTGGCACATATACACCATGGAATATTATGCAGCAATCAAAAATGATGAGTTCATGTCATTTGTAGGGACATGGATGAATCTGGAGAACATCATTCTCAGCAAACTGACCCAAGAACAGAAAATGAAATACCACATATTCTCACTCATAGGTGGGTGATGAACAATGAGAACACATGGACACAGGGAAGGGAGCACTACACACTGGGGTCTATTGGGGGTAATAGGGGAGAGACAGTGGGTGGGGGGAGCTGGGGAGGGATAGCATGGGGAGAAATGCCAAATGTGGGTGAAGGGGAGAAAGGCAGCAAAACACACTGCCACGTGTGTACCTATGCAACTATCTTGCATGTTCTGCACATGTACCCCAAAACCTAAAATGCAATTTTTAAAAAGTGCAAATAAAAAAAAAGATAGTTGGAATTCCTGTTGTGATTTGTTGGTTAAATCTTGAGATTAGTTTGTATTATGCAGTCATAAGGTTTTAAATCATTTAGCAAAAGATTTCTGGTGATTTAGCTGTCCCCTTCTCTATGTTTACTATGATTATTTGGAAATGAAAAGGGCGGATAACCTTCTTTTAAATAGTAACCAACTTTGGGGTATCCTATTCTTAATTATTACATGCAAGACAAAGCGGGCAGGGAACTCTGGACCTCAGGTTTTAAAATCTGACGTCCAGAGTTCCCTCTGCCTCTTTCAGAAGACATTTACATGACATTAATGCATCGACTCCGAGTCAGACCAAGACACAGTCAAATCACAGGTTACCATTGTCTTAGACAGAATATATAAGTGTACACCTGTTTTCCTATTTGTAAATGGTGGTGGTAGTGACTGTCAATAGGTTTTATGAGAATGTATAAATTTACATATATATTAATGTAGTTTATATGTATATATAAAATAGAGCACCTGGAACACAGTGAATATCCAATCAAATAGTGATAGATCTATTATAATCATTATTATTTGTGTTGTAATCGTAAGTATATTCCTTAAACAATGCTTCAAATATTTGCTTTAGTTATTATTTTTATAGATTATATTATTTTTATTTAGTTTTAGGTTTATTTTATGCTTATGAAAGATACCTTACAGACAATGGTATACTTGACTTCAGTCCTTCAATAGGAAGATGAAGCAGTAGCAGCAATACCGTGTCTCTCTAATGAGTTGGAATATTACTGATCGCTTTGAAGCCCCCATGTGATTATTCCCAATGAAAACCTTTCTCTTTTGCTTAGAAGTACCACGTTTCATTTTGGTTTTACTACACTAATTCCTAGAAAATAGTTTTTTGGCTTTCTATCTTTTTGACCCTTATGATCTAAAAAAAAGAAAAACCTATATGCATGCTATACATGTATTCTGTACATGTGTTGCACTTCTCTTAACATTGTGTTAAGATTTATCCATGTTGATGAATGTACCTAATCTATGTTCTTTGTCACTGTGGTAGAATATTCCATTGCATAAAACAAATATGCCCTATTTTTTAAATCCTTTCTCCTGTTTATGGATGTTTAGTATTTTTCCAGTTTTATTTATTTTATTTTTTGCTATTTTGAATGTGACTACTGTTAATATTCTCCTGTTAGGCTGACTTATGTGGAATTGCCATTTTTATAGGGCAATGATTCAAACTAAAAATTTCATATGATTCAACCCAATTTATGTCTGGTATGTATTTTTAAGATTATATCTGAAGCATATACCTAAGTGTGGCAGAAATGCTGGTTTATAGAGTATATGAATGTTCAGCTATTAAAATGAAACTTGATTGTATTACAAAGAGATTATACCAATTTATACCCCCTAAATGAAAATTGTCATTGTCCCATTTCCCACCAACATTTGATACAAATTTTTATTTTGGTGGATGTAAAATATAGTTTTAATTTGCAGTTCTGTAATTACCATTGAAATTAAGCATCATTCTATATGCTTGTTTGCCATTTCTGTTTTTTGAGACGGAGTCTTGCTCTGTCACCCAGGCTGGAGTGCAGTGGTATAATCTCTGTTCAGTGCAGTCTCTGCTTCCTGGATTCAAGCAATTCTCCTGCCTCAGCTTCCCAAGTAGCTGGCACTACAGGCGCTACTCACCATGCCCAGCTAATTTTTGGATTTGTAGTAGAGATGGGGTTTCATCATATTGGCCAGGCTGGTCTCGAACTTTTGATGTCAGGTGATCCACCCACCTCCACCTCCCAAAGTGCTGGGATTACAGGCATGAGCCACTGTGCCCAGCTAAAAATTATTTTTAAAAACAGAGTTTCCCATAATTTTTAGGTATGTACTGCTGAGAGGTGTTTCCCTACAATACCATTTTTCTGCTGCTGAGAAAATGGCAAAATAAGATTATTTAACTATATTTTTATCCTTTTGAATAAGAGGCTTTATTGATTTCTAATTTGCATTTTATAGTCATATAGTTAAAATTTTAAGGGATGTAGTGTACATAAAATATTACTTTTTAAAAAAGTGTTAGAATTATTTTATCTTTATACAAATACTATGTTTTTATTTTTATAAAACAATGATTTTTATAATTATTTTATTTGTATTATTTAACTTTGCAATTACATATAATACTTAACATTTAGAACTTCAAAGCACGAAAGTTTAGAACTTTTGGATATTACCTTTTGGCATTTGTGGAAAGCCATACTAAGTCTTATATATGGTTCATTTTGTTACAAAGAATAATTTTGTTATTAATTTAAGAATTGGGATGATGAAACTAGTAGATGACCCATTATTTTCTCTCTTTCTCTGTAGCCTTGCTGAGGTCATTTGTAAATATTTGCTAAGTCCATAGAAAGATACTAGCTTACATAAACACTGACATATAAACACTATGTTTAACTCTGTTTTAATAACAAAATAGATTGATTTTTGTCCAGCTTTTATCTTGCTCTCAATTTGTGGTCTTTCATTTTGGTTTCCTAGGTCTTCTTTTATCTTCTGTGTTGAGTATTAAACCATGGGGAGGAAGCTGGACCTGTCTGGTTTGACTGATGAAGAAACAGAGCATGTTCTTCAGGTGGTTCAGAGGGACTTCAATCTTCGCAAAAAAGAAGAAGAGCGACTAAGGTGAGATGCCTGTATTGCCCAACAGGGCACAACAAACCACATGTGGACAAGCGAAACAGGTTTCCTAAAGGTATTTCCTCCTGCTAGCCCTGAGTTTGGACACAGACCTATGTTTGCCAGAAGAATGTCCTGTCCTTTGTAGAAAGGTTTGCCAGTTTCAGAAATGTCAGTTCAGAAATGTGTTGCTCACAATCCGATCAGATATTTACTGGGGCTGCTAACCCTGTAAGTTACTATTAGCTATAAAATGAGTGGAGCTTGTGGTGACCACACTGTCTTGAGCTTCCTCTTAGCCTTAGTTTTTTGTTGGCAGGTGTTATGGAAGGATAACCAAAGTGTTAAGTGAACAGTTCTTGTGAGAATTAGTCTCATCCCAGTTCGATGTTCTGTTTGAACTCTCAGCTACTGTGGCACAGGAAAAGAGCTTTGAAGATCAGATACAAGGAAACTGACCACCAGGCAGGGATGGGATCACCTGGCTTAGCACCACTTCCCTCATTTTATAGAAGAGGAAACTGAAGCCCAAAGAGGTAGTCTCCTGACTCCTCTGCAGTTGATATTTCCCCATGAAATGCTCTTGGGAATACTATGGCAGGTCAATTGGAAAATACTGTGGCAGGTAAGTTACAACTATGCCTAAGTTGGAAGAAGAGCGATAGAAATGAAGTCATGTATTAGGCCTAATGTGTTGAAACCCAATGGTAGGTCAGTATTCGGCTCCCTCATCTATAAACCTATTATTCCTTGGAGTTCCATGGGTTTATTCACAGCACCATCTTCTTCCTTACACACTAAGCAAATATCTGTTTTCTCACTTTGATTATCCAACAGCTAGAACAGTGCCTAGCACATAGTTTTTAAATTCAATTATTAACAGATTTCTTGTCTTTCATCAAACAAGAATATATTTAATATATTCTATTCGTGAGACCAAAAAATGGTGGATATAAAGATGACTCCACTAAGGTGCTTATAGCCTAACAAGGGAGATAACATTGCCAAGAAGTATAAAGTCTGAGGTACTCCAAGGTAGAAGGAAAACAATCCCTTTTTGGTAGTAGGAAAGAAGTACCAGTTTTAAGCTGAAAGGGCATGAGTAGAGCTTTGGCATAATCCTGTATTTCCGTATTTACATAGGGTATATAAAAAAGAACACAGTCAAGGACATCCCAAAGGTTCTTTGGCTTAGAAAACTGGAAGAATGAAGTTGTCATTCACTGAATATAAAGACAGAGGAGCAGGGTAGTTGGTAGCCAGGTAAAGTTGAAAGCTCTGTCTCAGACATCTTCAATTTGAGATGAATACTGGACCTCCAAAGGAGATGCCAACTTGGCATTTATGTATTTGCAGCTAGGAATCAAGTGAGAGGTCCAAGTTGGAAATTGAAATGTCATGGAAAAGGTCACCAGAACAATAGGAGAGTAGATGGAGCAGGGAAACTAGTACCCTTGCTTGGCAGCACTAAGACCTGGTCACTATTTTACATTGAGACCAGTTTCCACATGGTAGTGCTTTCACTGGATTCTTTCATTTTCTTTCCTCTACTGTACCACTGGAAAGAACCATGTCTTGCTGAGTTTTGTGCCACAATCTCTGGGTGCAGGGCCTGGTACACAGTGGGTGTACCCTAAAGATCTGTGGAATGAATGGATAAATGTAGATTGCTTGTCAATCCATATGACTCACTTCATGTGTGGCTTGAAGAATTGATCTTAGTGTTTCCCTTAAATCATGAAAACTATCTGTGTGTCATGCTTTATCTCCTGGAAAGCATTTTTTCAGATTCTCTTTATTATATAGATTGGGTTAAACCATTTCAAACCATTTCACATATGGGTAAGCCAGAACCTTGTTTTATGTCCTTTTCTGACTGTGGAGACTTGCCTTAGTGCCGCTGCAGAGTCAGGTGCCAGTTCATGTGTAAGAGCAGCTTTAGGGCTTAGTTTGAGGAGGAGAATTTTAAAGAAAGAGAAGCTGTCACTGTAGTAGACCTGACAAAATGGGCACCATCTTTCTCATGAGGATAGTAGTCTTAGTGGACAGCAGTCAATAACCTACTGTAATTCTGTGAAAATGCATGGTCGTGGGAACCTGCTTGTGCTGGGGGAGATGATGCTTGAAATCATCGGTGACCACAGAGGAGTGACTGCTTGCTGTGGCACCTCTTGTGGTACTGGAACTGGACATTTTTTCTATGAAGACTGCTGTTGCTGTTGTCCTTCTGCTCATGACCAGGGACATGGCTTGACAGGTACCTAGCATACTGGGATGAAGCTCTGAATGATTTCAGCAAAGAATCTTACTATCAAATAAAAAGAGATGATGACATTGCAAAACCACTGAAATCGCCAAACATTTGCATCACTTTTTCATATTGCTTAAATTTTGGATACATAAAAGAATCTTGGATTATAAGTATTATTGAACTGAACTTCAAAAGTATTTTAGAATTACAGAAAGTATTTTCCTTTAGTGAATGGAAAATTCAGAAGAGTTTTTAAATTACTATTTTATAGTCTTGAATTAGTTTCCTTTTCCCCCAACCAGCTGTTCTTTATTTAGCTAGTTTCTCCAGCTAGGTTTTGTGAGGGTAAGTCTTGAGTGCAGTAGAGCTTATTATCTGGTGTTTATAATGATCTGTTCTTCAGTGCAGACATTAAGTGTAGTAATAACTAGGAGGTGGAAGTGTGAATTAAGTGTCCTCAGAACATATCATGGTAATATAAAGAGGGATAATAGGGATAAAGAATTCATGCAAAGAGAACTAAAAGGTATAAAGCAGTCAGTGTGAACTGGCGCAGTCCCGAGTACTGCACAATTCACCAAGTCACTATAATGTTAGTACCAGTTTACATGGGGGTACACAAGAACAGATTACAAAGCTTGCCCAGAATCACACAGTTAATCAGAGTAGGGCCAGTATTTTGTTTCTCAGGTTCTCGTTATTATGTAGATTGGGTTAAACAATTTCAAAACTGTTTTACTCTCCTTCCCTCCTTAAAATAATTCCTTAGTATCATCTAATGTTCAGTAAATTTGTCCCACTGTCTTATTTCTACAGTATATTCAAATCAGAATCCAAACAAGGTTCACTCATTAGTCTGGTTGTTTTGAATCTTAAACCTCTTAATTTTGTCATTATTTTTTTACTTAATTCAGAAGGCAACCATGGTATTGGGTGGCTCTGGGAATATTTGGCTTTTCTAATTTGTCATTTTATGGTTAGGCTGATTAGAAGTGGAGCTTAGATTTGTTGTAATTTTCTTCCCCTTTAATAAGTTCCTTTCATTACAAGTTAGGTCTCTTCCCAATTTTGCCATTTAAATTTAAAAAAAAATTCATAGCTAGGTGTTGGTGTTTTTTGTTTGTTTGTTTGTTTTTGGGGAGAGATGGAGCCTTGCTGTGTCATTCAGGCTGGAGTGCAATGGCACAATCTCAGCTCACTGCAACCTGTCTCCCAGGTTCAAGTGATTCTCCTGCCTCAGCTTCCTGAGTAGCTGAGATGACAGGTGCAAGCTGCCATGCCAGGCTAATTTTTTATATTTTAGAAGAGATGGGATTTCACCATGTTACCCAGGTGGGTCTTGAACTGCTGACCTCAGGCAGTCCACCCGCCTCGGCCTCCCAAAGTGCTGAGATTACAGGCATGAGCCACTGCACCCAGTCGTGTTATTTCCTAAAAGCATGTATTTAGAATGGTTGTGATATTTGTACCCATGTGGAAGGGGCAGTGTGACTGTCCTGGCTCTGGCAGGTGAGTGGAGCAGGACACTGTGGGGAAAGCTACAGCCCTCATTCTTTACAGGCCTCCTGCTGTCCCCCAATCCCTGCTACAGCTCACAGTGAGCAGAGTCACGTCGTGGTTGGTGTGTAGATATCAGCTGCTATGCGTAGGCAGTCACAGGCCTGACTATGTAAATGATTCTGTCAACCCCTTGTCAGTAAGATGAGACACTTTCTCAGCACTGGAGATGTGATGCATTGAATTTGTAATGTCATTAAAGCTGCGTGTTTATCACAGGACTGTTGAAAACTGTTGGGGGAAGATAGAGAATTGATGGGCCTGAGAAGAGCAGACATGCAATACCAGATACTGGAGGTGGGGACTTACTTACAAATTCAGTAGAGTGAGTGTTGATTCCATTTCTCCAAGACATACAACAGCATTAACACTATGGATGGAGGATGCTGGGGGACAAAAGGCATGGTGACTTCTGCTCCCATCTAGATTACTCAGGGGCTTTGAGTTTCATCTAGATTGCTCAGGTAAATGTGTCAAAAAGTTCATCTTATACTTGGTTAATTTTATTTTTTGCTTTTCTTTTTTATTGGATGATTTCAGGCAAATAGTAAAATTATGCAAATGGAAAAGAAGACCTTATAATGAGAAACCTAAGTCCTCTGCTCCATATTTAGTTCTTCGTTCTTTAGGTCTCCTGGAATGACCTTCATAAATCTGAACATGTGTATTTTTTTTACTATATTTCAATGTATCAGTATTAGACATTTTTTCAACTTTCTGCTCTGAAATTGGTGACTTAGCTTACTTATACTACCCTTGTCTTTTGTTTCTTGATGATTATATTATTATTTTTGGCTTGGCTTTCTACTGGTTCTCTTTCAAACTTAAATAATAGATGGAAGCCTCTGAGTCTTGTTCTGTCAGCATTCACCATTCTTTTTCGATTCTGGCAGTGCAGTGTTTAAATAGTGCCCCTTCCCTTACCTCATTCTGCCCTGTGTTCCAGCTTTCCCTATGATACCTTTACTCTCACACATACAACGCTGGGGCATTCACCTGCTGTTCCAAAAACATATTTGAGTCTCCGGTTTTGTTCACAGGATGATTCTAACTGTTGAAAACCAGTAAGTCGCCCCTACGTAGTTATGATTAAAAACATTAATATTGTTTACTGCTCCCTGTTCCTCATTTTCACAGCTTTATTGAAATCAGTAGGTGTCTGATTATTCTCTTCCTTTTATCTTTACCATTAGGAATT